CACAGAACTAAAGTATTATTTCCAAAAATATTTGGCTTTCAATAATAATAGTAATAATGTACCTACTGAACTGGTTAGTCTTAGCTAAGGAGATTTCTAGGCAGAGTGTTTCAGGTGCTGCCTTATAATAAGCAGCAAGTTTCTTGCTGCTTATAATAAAATGCAAAAGGAGAGAGAAAAGCTTAAGATAGGAAAACTAAACAAAATAGGAATCAGGATGTAATGATTTTGTAAATCCCCAACCTTTATCAACAGCAAACAATGCTACAGTTACAAAAAAGCTTCCAAACAAACATCGAGTCCAAGAAAGTGAGCCCTGCAACTTTGTTATTCTTTTCCAATATTGTTCTAGTTATTTGGGGCCCTTGTTTCGTATGAGTAAGGCAGGGACGTCCAACCCCGTGGCCCAGGATGGCTACAAACGCAGTCTGACACAAATTATAAATTTACTTACAATCTTTTTTTGCTCATCAATTTTTATTAGTGTTTACATATTTAATGTGTGGCCCAAGACGACTCTTCTTCCACTGTGTCCCAGAGACACCAAAAGGACACCCCTGACAGAGGACTGACTTTCCGTTTTGCAAAAAGATCACTGGAATTTTGATGGGGATTGGATGGTTCTGAGTTGCTCTGGAAGTACTGCCTTTTAACAATATTAAGTCTTCCAATCCATAAACATGAAATATCCTTCCAGTGGTTTAGGTATTCTTTAATTTCTTTCAGCAATGTTTTGTTCTTTTCGCTGTACAAGTCTTTCATTTCCTCGGCTAAATTTATTCTTAGGTATTTCATTCTTTTGGACGCTATTATAATGTAATTGTTTTCTTCATTTCCTTTATGCATCATTCATTACTGGTATATAAAAACATAACTGATTTTTGTGTGTTGACTTTATAATCTGCAACATTGTTAAACTTATTTATTAGCTCTAGAAGATTCAGATGTTTTTGACAGACTCCATCCAGGAAGCTGCTCCAGCTCAAAGGGAGCAAAAGAAAAAAAAAAAAGGCAAACCTCTGCACTGGTCCCTGAGGGAGCTGCCAGACCTTTCAGAATACAATAAGCACTTTTGGGGGGGGGCTGGGAGGTGGGGACAAAGTTCTTATTCCTCTTCCCTGCTCCCAACCTCTGCCCTGCTCCTCTGGCTGCCACTAAGCTAGAAAATAGGGGATGGCAGGCACATAAGCAAAAATGCCACAGCACTCTTACTAAGATTAAGCAGCCTCTTTCTTCATTAAGCACTTCCCTGGTTGCTATAAATATTTTGTTCTATTCAGTGTTTCTGCAGAGGCACCAGTTCTTAGAGCTCTACACCATCATTTCCTGTGACAAGTAGCTTTTCTTAACAAACAGAATGTGGAACAGTGTACAACTTCTGAGACTGTCACAAAAGGCACTGAAACTGAGACTTCCTCCTTGTTTTCTTTCCACCACTTGCTCTGAAGGACGCCAGTGGCCATGCTGTGAAGACTCCCTCGTAGCCCTATGGAGATTCCCGGGCGGCACGGACCGGAGGCAGCCTGCCAACAGCCGCGTGTGTGAGTGAGCATGTCGGACTCCAGTCCCTGTCCAGCCTTAGGGTGACTGACTGCAGGCCCAACTGCCATTTGGAATACAACCTCATGAGAGACCCTGAGCCACTCTTGAAATAATAATTGACAGACACCATGAAATAATAAATGCATGGTTATTCTAAGCTGCTAAGTTTGGGGTTATATAACATTTAAAGCTCAGGCCCCAAATAAAAGAAGACCCTCATCGATCAATGAGTTCTTGGGAAAAAGAGTGCTTCAAGCAGAGAGAACAGCACTTATAAAGGCCCTAAGTAAGGAAAGGTCTTGTGTATGTTAAAAACATTAAAAATTTGAAATAAGATCACTGTGGCTGGAGCCCAGTGAAGGGGAGCAAAGCAGGGAAAAAGGTGTCATCAAGGTAGCAGAAAGTAACCAAAGTGGCTGTATAACAATATTTTAAAAATGGTAAAACCTGGTAAATTCCCAAAGAGTCAATGGTTCCCTATCCATCAGAAATAGAAACCAGACTACAATTAAGAACAGAAAGATGAGAGCAAACCAAACATGAAGGCAGTTCACCAGCCCAGCATTAAGTGTGCACAGGTGAAGCAAAGGCAGACGAGTTACCCGCAGCAGAAGGACAATGACTAGACTTTACTGAGGACATAACCTCATAAGCAGCTGTGTAACTCTGATAAAGCCAATGTTATTCGTTTTTAAAAGTACAAATAGATATTTGACTGGAAAGTGAGCATAAAATACTCACCTTTATAAAAGGAATATGAAAACTTAAAAGTAAATATCCTAGTTTTAATCTTGCTTCCTCACAAGTTTTGCTAATTGGAGAGAAATCAAAAACTACTTACCCAAAGCAATCTAAAGATTCACTGCAATTTTTATTAAAATACCAATGACATATTATACAGATCTAGGACAAATATTTTTAAAAATGTATATGAAACCAAAAAATACCCCAAGTAGCCTCAGCAATCTTGAGAAAAAAAAGAACAAAGTTGGAAGGAATCACAATACCTAATATCACACTATACTATAAGGCCACTATAACCAGAAAAGTCTGCTACTGGCATAAGAACAGACACACAGACCAATGGAACAGAATACACTGCATAAAAATAAACCCTTATCTCTATGGCCAATTAATATTTGACACAAGGAGCATGAGCAGACAAATGGAATAAAAATAGTCTCTTCAATAAACAGTGTTGGGAGAACTGGACTGGCACATGCAAAAAAAAGGAAACTAGACCACCAGCTTACACCATACACCAGAATAAACTCTACATGGATAAAAGACTTAAGTACAAGCCCTGACACCATAAAAGTGCTCGTGGAAAACACAGGCAGTAAAATTTCAGATATCCCACATAGCAACATTTTTGCCAATATTGCTCGGGCAAGGGAAATAAAGAAAAAAAATAAACAAATGGGACATCAAATTTAAAAGTTTCTGCATGGCTAAAGATTCCATCATCAAAATGAAAAGGGAACTGACTGTGTGGGAGAACGTATTTGCCAATAATATATTGGACAAGGGTTTAATGTCCAAAATATAGAAAGAATTCATACAACTCAAAAACAGGAAAACAATCCAATGGCAAAGGGCTTGAATAATACTTCACCAAGGAGAACACACAGAGGGCCCACAGACTATGAAAAAGATGCTCAAATCACTAGCCATCAGAGATGCAAATTAGAACCATAATGAGCTATCACCTCACACCTGTCAGACGGCTGTCATTAATAAGCCGACAATGAGTGCTGGTGAGGATGTAGAGGAAAGGGAACCCTAGCGCACTGCTGGTGGGAATGCAGGCTGGTGCAGCCACTGTGGAAAACAGTATGGAATTTTCTCAAAAAATCAAAAATGGAACTGCCTTATGACTAGATTCCACTGCAGTAATATATCCTAAGAACCCTGAAACACCAGTTCGAAAGAACTTATGCACCCCAATGTTCATAGCAGCATCATTTACAATAGTCAAGTGTCAGAAACAGCCTGAGAGCCCATTAGGAGAGGAGTGGATTAAAAAGCTGTGGTACTTTTACACAATGGAATACTATGCAGCAGAAAGAAGAAATTTCTACCTTTTGTGACAGCATGGATGGAACTGGAGAGCATTATGCTAAGTGAAATAAGCCAGTCAGTGAAAGACAAATGCCATATGATCCCACTTATAACTGTGATCTAATGAACAAAATAAACTAATGAGCATAATAGAACCAGAGACATGGAAACATGGAACAACAGACTGGCATCTGTAAGAGGGGAGAAGGCGGGGGAGAAATGGTAGAAATAATGGGAAAGGATTATTTAGTCAAAGAACATGTATGAACGACCCCTGGACACAAACAATGGAGTGGGGACTGACTGAGGGAGTGAGGGGTGGGCTGATTGCGGGTGGGGGGGCAACAGGGAAAAACTGGGACAAATGTAATAAATAAACACTAATTTAAAAAAGAAATCAAAAACTAACTTCATCATCAAATAGGAACCCAGGGTGGGAACTATGAAACCCTTTGAGTGCAAGAACCAAATTCTTTACACCATCCCATATCGCTTAGCTTTATATAATTAATATGCAATTGCAAACTTAGGAAAAAAATCTTTATGAGGATGCTATTTAAAATTCTGAATGGTGACTTCATTGGTAAAAACGTAATGTCTAGAATATAGGCATAAAGCATCTGTCTACCAGGCAGTCCACAGTCACTGCCAAATGAGTAAGTGATGTAGCGCAGCACCCACAGGAAACGACTGTAAATCAGTTTGGCGGAGAGCCACGCTTGTCTTTAGCATGGGCCGCCACAAGTAACAAGGTTGAACAACTGGCGAAGAGGGTAAAAGAATTTCAGTAGAAATCTCAACTGGATAAACTAAACGTGAATTAGCAAAATAAGACTATTTGTATATAAAACTGTAAGTAAAAAAACACTTCTATGGACAAATATTGATGATGTTATCAAAGACATTTTCAATCAGTTAAAAATAAAATAATCTGTTTTCAGATTTTATGACTATCTGAATACCAAGATATATCCATCTCTGTACCTTTAACCAGAAAAAGATTTGAAATAAGAAGAAAAGTTAGTGAAGAACAAGAGCATCAAACATCATAAAATGAGACAGATATAATTATTTTATTTTGTTATTCAAATGCACTGATGCATGAGTATAAAGTAAATGGAATACTAGGTCCTTAAATGTCCCTCCTAGTAGCCCACCATCTCCGTGGTATCCTTGACACTGTACAAACCTTACATTCTACTAATTGCTAATTATTAAGACATCAGAAAAATAGCAAACATTTAATGCAAACAAAATATATTTTGAGATTTAATGAACAAATATACCTTATCTGTACAATAAAACAGTAAGTGCTATTGACATATTTAAAGAAAAAAATCAAAATCATAGAAAAATGACTCAGAAAAAAAATCAATGTTTTGAGGGTAATTACGAACCGAATTTTCTTCCTCCTCTTCCAATTCTCGTTGCTGTTCTTCATGTCTTTTTGCTTTGATCTCCATCGCTTCCGCAATCAGGTCTCTTAAAATTGATACAGGTTTTGCATTCTTGATAAAAGGATGCTAAAAAAGTAAAATTCAATGGTATAATTTTGAAAGATTTTTAAAAACTGTACCTCAAAAATGTTAAGATGACGTGTAAATGTAAACCAGGATCTTAGGCTTAAATGATTTGTTATTTTATCCAGAAGTTAGACCAGAGAATATTTCAGCTGCTTTACAAATAAAGAGTTTGCTTTTTGGCTTAGTTGTTTTTACAAACTATTAAAACACAGACACAAAAATGTAATCCTGTTAATAAAAATACATTAATGAAAACTACCTTAAAGATATGTGTCCACAGAAGTGTAGATTAGGTAAGAAAAAGATACAATTAAAAAAAACAGATGAATGATTATATTGCATATAAAAATAGATATTTGGTATCGGTGACAAATTTTAATTAATCTTAACAAGCTGACAGACTGAATCAGTGGACAAAAGAAGGGCAAATATTGTGTTACTTCTTTTACATATTTTCTATTTTATTAGGGCTTAAAAGTGTAATAATTTCGCTCTACTCCAATGGAGAAATACAAAATGGCCAATAAAAATTTTTCAGAACATAAATATTGCTTTATTTCTATAATGCACATACATAAAATAATTTTTCACTTCTTTTTCATTCTACCCTGATCTAGCTGAAATATATGAGTTTGTTGAAAATGTGATAAACAAAATGGAAACCACCAGAACAGACCTGGGTTGCTGATAATTTTTTCTACTGAGGGAAGGGTGTGAGAGAAGTAGAGGTAAGATTAAAAGTATAATTTGGGATACATAACCTTATACTGAGGCAGCAATACAGCTTCAAGATGTGATTTTCATAATTAAATGTCAATAGACAGACTCAGGTAAAAGGTGAGTTACTTTAATAAAGAACACAAAAATATTCTTAAAGACAAAAAAGTTTTAGTGCTAAAGAAGAAATTTCAGACATTTGGAAAAAGCTTTAAAACGATAAACATACACCATTTAGGAAAAGAATGAGTGAGAATTTTACCAGATTACAGAAATAATAGGATCAATAGTGAAGAAACAATAATAAATTCTTTTGTATCACCAGATAAATTATGTTCTATTAACATAGCTGTGGTGGAGACTCCTGGTTCCACCAGAATAGAACTGTGGCTAGATGCACAGCGGCCCAGCTAGATTCTACCGTCCTTAGTCTCCCTTTCAGCTGGATGTGACTAGGAGACTAAGTTCTGTCGATGAAATGGAAAGAACAGAATAGAATGAAATGAGAGTGTCTTATGTTTTCTTCTATTTCCTGATCTGGGCCTTAAAACATTAAATGTTGCCCTGGCTGGTGTGGCTCAGTGGGTTGAGCACTAGCCTGTGAACCAAAGGGTTGCCAGTTCCATTCTCAGTCAGGGCACATGCCTGGGTGTAGGCCAAGTCTCCGGTTGGGGCCATGCAAAAAGCAATAGATCAATATTTCTCTCACACATCAATGTTTGTCTCTTTATTTGTCCCTTCTCCTCTCTCTAAACAAATAAATGAAATATTAAAAAGAAAACAAAAACACCACGCGTGCATTTTTCCATGACTTCTACTCTTTCTACTAATCTGGAAAACAAAGATCGTGCCCTGGAGAATGGTGGAAAAACAAAGAAGAAACTCCAGTCCTACACTGATAATTTTTGAGAAACATTGGTGGAAAGCCACCTTCCCGCCTCCAAAAAAAAAAAAAATAACAATTGAAGACATGCTCTTTGCCCTTAAAGAACTTATCTAGAATAAAGAATAAAACTCAAACACATACAAAAAATTACAACGTGGCATATAAATTACAGTGATGGTGGTTTAGCACAGCCTATATGATTAAGAGATGTGAAAGTAGAAGAATGGGTGAGGTCATCTTGGGTGCCTCATACAGAACAGACCATTTTAGGGGCAGTTAAAGTACGAACAGTATGAACAAGCACACCACGATGGGGAATGTATGTCAGAACCCAGCAGAAAGATCCGCCATGCCAAGACAGAAACACTACTTAGAGAAAGGGTGTTCTGTGAGTTTAGGGATGAGTACAAGCATCAGGGGGGCAGGAAGGATACATGCTTAGGATGACATGCCTGAATTTTGTCTGGGAGCCACTTTGATTACATAGACAAGAGAATAAGGCAAAGAATGCCTTTGATAGCATAATCTTGCACTAGAATGTAGAAAGAAATGAAATTAGAGTGCGGAGGAATGGTAATAATAAAGGTATGAATTATTAAGAACCTGGATTTTAAAAGAACAGCTGCCACAATCGAGAAAAGTGAATCTGATGAAAAGTACTCTTTGGAGGGAATTAGTGACTACATATTAAAAGAATAAAAGAAGACCAACACTGCAAAAACTGGGAACCAACAGAATCATATCTCTCTTAAAGAGCATAGAAATCTCAAGTTGTATTATACTTTATCTTTTCAGGAAAAATGATGAGCAAATCTTCCAAGCCACAGTTTTACCAGTAAGAAATGCCCCAATACATATATGGTTCATCCAGTCTACTGCAAACTTACTTTCATGCAATTAATTGTGAACTGACTACCCAGTGTTTGCTATCATTAATCTACAGAGCTTAACGTACTTAGTCTCAAAATCCCAATGTCTGATTTCATTTGTAGTCGTGTTTTTTTTCTCTACATAACCATGACAGGACAGATGTTATCTGACCAAGAAAGAGGAACTGGCTAACAAAGTTAAAAGGCTACTTGAAGAACAAGGCCATAGTATTTGAGCATTCTTGAGAGTCAGGAGAGAAGTACTATTGGAAATACTGGCAGATTCTTAAAGAATAGTTTAAAGTCATTTTTAAAATAGCAAGTGATAAAATTAAAAATGCAAAGCAGCATAAAAAACAGAACAAAACCAGAGAAAACAAGTTGGCAAAAAAAACTGTGATTAAAATATTATTAGCATATACAAATTAAAGAAATGGGTTGACTTTCCATTTATTAAATAATATTTTAGTTCCTAAAAGACACTTAGTTCATAAGATAAATTCAGCTACATGCTTTCTACATGAGATATACTTAAATAAATCCAACTTGTGTTTCCCCAAGAGGCATACTGAAAAGAACCTGGGTTAAAAGTCAAAGACAAGCAATGAAATCTTAGTCAAACATAAAAAAACACCAAGAATAACACAATTTAAAAAGTAGGACTGAAGGCAAAGAAAAGTGAATGAAGAATGTTATTTAATATCAATAAGGGACATAATATAAAGGTGTACTTGTAAACTAGGTATATTAGTATAGCATTATGATATGTAAGAGAAACTACAGAGAACAAGAAGTTGATCTAGTAAAACATAAAAATATTAAGATTCCTTTTCTAGTCACTGAGAAGTGAAATAGGTAAAAATAAAGATAAAAATCTAAATAATACAGACTGAATTAACAGAAAATCAATGAACAAAAGTTACATCTTTTTGTTTAATGCCTATCAAAGCATGTGGCCCCAGTATAGGAATAGAAAGAACAATAAAACAATATAATGGCCAGAAACAGAATATAATACACAAAATAAACTGGCATATTATAAAATACCATTTCCAGTCATTGAGAGAAAAATTACTTATATAAAAACTGGTGTTGAAATAATAGGGGGGAATTAAACTAGGTCTTTACCACGAAAACACCAAAATAAATTCCAGATAGATTAAAAAATGAAAGTCTAAAAATAAATAGGAGAATGTTTATATTTAACCCAATACCATAAAAAGAAAAGAAACAAAACAGTATAAATACATACAAATTAAGTATGTATGAATGACAATAAAAAATGAATACACTAAAATCTACATTTGTAACATTTATGTCAGACAGAAGGTGATTAAATGAAGTTTTCTACAAGAATATCAATAAGAAAAAGATTAACACACCATATTCTTAAAGGCAATGAATTTTCACTATTTCTAAATGAATCTACAGTAAAATCTAAACTAAAATAGGGTGAGCATTCTGAAATCACCTAAATAAAAAAAAATCTAAAATATCCTAATCAACTTATGACACTTTTGATCATGTATTTTAAAAATTAAGATCACTTGATAATTTATTCTTTTAAAATCTGAAACAGTTCCCCTTAAATTCTGTTCATGTTCTAAATTATCACTGTCTAAATTGATAGAGTTCAAATTAATGATTTATTCAAAAAACTTCAGAGGAAACAAGAATTTGAAATCATCTGAAGAAGAGACTTAATGCTTCCCAGTAGACTGAGTTGTCACACTTTTTCCTATACCTCTCCATTTAAGTGCAGCTAAAACCCCTGAACATTATATACGAAACAAACATAGGGCAATTCTGAAAAACAGAAAGAAGGCAGCAAACTGGTTAGGGACTGGAGGGACTTGAGGAAGGGCTTCACTGTGAGTTCCCAGGGTTTTCTTTTCATCTCATTTATCCCAGACTGGGTACTGGAGGAGCCGGCAACCCAGAAACACCAGGGGACACCAACGACAACCACTCCTACAAAAGCCTATTCTCTTGATCAAAAAGATTGGGAAAAGGACGGCTAGTGAGACAAAACTTCTAGACAAGAACCATCCTGCACCAGCCTAACACCACAGAGAACACATTGGCCCCAACCCTGCCAACAATGGCTGAGTGGGGAAGCTGTAACTTCTACCCCCTGGAAGGTATTCGATCCTTCTACTGAGAAGGTGCCAGAGAAGACCAAGGGTTGAGCTAGGACATTCTTCTCCACCAGTAGAATAAAAGGCCCCCTCTAGTAGGGAGTGTTGGCAAAAACTATGCGGGAGCCTGGGCTTATATCCCTACCAGACAGTAATAAAGAAACCCTGCCCCCTCCCGGCTAGAGCAGAATGAGAGAAGACCTAGTTGGATCAGAACTCTCATCATCACCCAGCTATAATGAGGCTCTGTAGTGCCACTGAAGGCATCTTGAGAGCCTGAGCTCTCACCCCTGTCCAGTCGTAGTAAGAAACCCCTCATTACCATACATGTCAAAGGAGACCAAGCTAGGGACCTGGACTTCTGCTAGCTGGCAAAAACTAGCTGGTGCTCCTTTCCCCCACTGCAATATTGTCAGAGGATGCCTCTTATAACAGTATATATTAGATTCAGAGTCTCATAATATAATACTGAAAATACCTAGGGTTCAGATGAAAATCACTCACCATATCAAGAAGCAGGAAAATCTCAACTGGGAGAGATAATAAATAGGCACCAACATCAAGATAACACAGATATCAGAATTATCTGACAAAGATTTTAAAGCAGCCATCATAAAAATGTTTCAATGAGCAATTACAAGCATGCTTGTAGAAAATAAAAATCAGACCATTTGAACAAAGAAAAATAAATAGAAAAAAAAAACCATGAAAATTTTAGAACTAAAAAATTGCCAAAATTTAAAATATGATCAATGGGCTTAAAAGCAGAATGAAGACAGAGGAAAGACTCAGTGAACTGGAATACAGAACAGTAGAAGGTACTCAATACACACCAAAAAGAAACCAGACTGGAATAAAAGTGAACAGAACCTCAGAGGCCTGAAGGTTCTCGAAACTAAAGACAACTAAAGAGACTAGTTGTTTTGTTTTAGACAACTAAAACAAAAGATCTAACATTTGCATCAACAAAGTCATAGAAAGAGAAGAGAAAGACAGCAGGGCTGAAAAAAAGTGTATGAAAAAATAATGGCTGAAGACTTCCCCCAACTTGGCAAGACATATAAACCTATTGATTCAAGAAGCTGAACAAATCCCCTAAAGAATAAATCTAAAGAAATCCATACTAAGACACATCATAATTAAATTTCTGAAAATTAAGACAGAAAAATAATCTTGAAAAGAACAAGGAGTAAAACAACTCAGATGACAATAGATTTTTTTTTCTTTTTTTAAAATATATTTTATTGATTATGCCTTTACAGTTCTATTCCCCCCTTCATTCCCCTCCACCCTGCACACCCCTTCCCCCACCATTCCCCCCCCTTTAGTTTATGACCACGTGTCTCAAGTTCTTTAGATTCTATATTTCCCCTACTATTCTTGCCCTCCCCCCCATCTATTTTCTACCTACCATCTATGCTACTTATTTTCTGTACCTTCTCCCCCCTTCTCCTCCTCCCACTCCCCTGTTGCAAACCCTCCATGTGATCTTCATTTCTATGGTTCTGCTCCTGATCTAGCTGTCCTCTTAGTTTGTTTTTGTTTTAGGTGTGGTTCTTAGTAACTGTGAGTTTGCTGTCCTTTCACTGTTCATCTTTTTTATCTTCTTGGACAATAGATTTTTCTTAAGAAACCGTGGATCTGAGAAGGAAGTGCCACAACATTTAAGTGCTGAAAGAAAAGAACTACCAACTAAGAATTCTATAGCCAGTGATAATGTCCTTCAGGAATAAAGAGGAATAAAGACATTCTCAGATGAAGGAAAATTAACAGAATTTGTTACACACACTTATCCTAAAAGAATATAAGGAAGTCCTCTAAACAGAAGGGAAGTAATAAAAGAAGAAACTTGGGAACATTGGGAGAAAGAGACAAAGAGCAAAACTGGGTAAATACAATAGATTTCCCTTAGTTTCTTTAGTTTTCTCAAATGTTTAAAGGTTAAAGCAAATACTACCACAGTATTTGATATGGATATCAGTATGTGAAAAGAAAGTATTTAGGATAATTATACGATAAATGAGAGGGATGACAAGTTAGATACAGTTTCCACTCCTCATTTGAACTGGTAAAATGAAGAGTAAGTCACACGCCATGGGAGCTCACAGAGTAACCCATGGCACCAGCTGTTCGAGCCACACACAGAGTCAGCCCAGAGAACAGCAGATCTCAGTCAACCGAACATTCTTACAGGAGGCCAGCCTGGGCGGCAGCTGACTTTCAGGTTCTAAACTGTCCACACGCAGTATAAGGATCCCCTTCAGATCAGGACCTCTACCACCACCAGGCTAAACTTGAACCTGATCCTTTAAATATCTCTGGGGTTTCAATTTCTTCATCTTTTAAAAACTACTAAGAGTTCAACTGAACAATCTCAAAGCATCTTTTCAGTCTGATTTTTTGAACTTACACAATTATCTATCCTGCACCATAGAAAATAAACCACTATTAAAAAAACTTAGCATATATCATGGTCTACCAATCAATATGGTATAATCTGTACATGTAAGCTACAAACATGTGTCCACTAAAACATAATAGTAAGACTTTCTGCTGAGAGTTACACTATAATTTAACTCATAACATATAAGACGCATAAAAACTCCTTTAAGAGACTGACTGGCTTCTAAGAGTCCAGCAAAGTAAGACTGTAATGAGTCTAATAAGACTCTAATGAGAGTAAAGATAACTATCCTATCTAAAAAAGTCTTTTTAAGTCAGAAGTTTGTTGTGCTAAATTTTGAATTCAATTTACAAAGTATTATAACCAATGAATACTAAGAGTGAAAAAGCAGTCCCCTCCCAAAAGTCACAGCCCCCTAACTGTGAATCAGTTACAACCTAGGACGATGACAAAGAACTAAGTTATTTTATCTAACATGGGGAATGACATGCCCAGGGTGCTTCCGGGAACATACGGGAACAACTGCCGTAAACAGAGATGAAGGGAAGGCTTTCTGAAGCAAAGGCAATGATTAAGGAGGAGCCTGTTGGTGAAGGGGAGTCTTCAAACTGGTGAACATGGTGGAGGGGGACAGCATGAGAAAAGGCACAGAGGACTGAAAAAGCACGGTCTGTGTAAGAAACGGCAAGTCTATTATTTCAGTATTTATACAGAAAAAAATGGGAGGTAGTAAGGGGTAAATTATGAAGCCAGATAAGAACACCAAATTGTAACAGAAGACCTTGAATGATCAACAATAGTACAATTTTTTTAAAAGCAAGACAGTAAATATTGGCTCATAAGCACTATATATAAGTAACACATAAAACAGGAAGCATTGTTTGTCCTTTATATCAAAAAGGATGCTTGGGCCAAACCCCACTCAAAGACAGAGAACAACAGAGCTTGCTAAATGTCTACTCAGGTCACGTTCTGGGCAGAAAGCAGAGTAGAAAAAGGATGAAGATTGGGACTAGGGACAAATGGAATAAACCTGAACAATGATTTAATCACTGTGTGATCTTCAGTGTCATGCAACCTTTGTGGGCTTCTGTGTCCGCACCCACAAAATTAGGGGGTTATACTAGAATACTTCTTAAATACTTTTCAATCCTAAAAACTCTAAGTTAAAAACTGAAGAATTTCTTTTCTTAGAAAGATTAGAAAAGATTATGCAAGAAAGACTAGAAAGAAACACTGGTTAAAGTATCCAAAAATCAGTTATCAGATATGTTTGGATTTATTTTCACCATCATATTTTATGCAATTTGTCTGTTTTGGGGTTTTTTTTCCCTTCTCTCCTTTCTTGTCTTCTTTTGGGTTGAATAATTTGGATATTCAATACAATAACAATGCCAATAGGCTTTTGATTTATGTGTTCAAAATTCCTTTGACATGATGACAATATTTCAAAATAAATGTTTCAATTAATTACTTCTTAAAAGCATTTGCATATAACAAGGAACTCAAAAGGCTCAAAAACAGCCTTCAGCAAAAAGTAAGTTTCGATTCCACTCCTGCTTCTCAGTTGATTACCTTCTCCGAGGGCCAGTTTCTTGCTTATTTTTGCATGGCTACTCCACGGTAACCACTGACACATGCATGTATGCGTGTACACATGTACAGGTGTGTGTGTTCTGTCAATCGCTCCTCTTCATGGACCTTAATTTGTTTCCAACTTGTTGACAGTTATTTAGGTTGTTTCCAATCTTTTGCCATTAAAATGTCCTATGCATCTTTTTATACACATTTTATTTCACACATGGTTAAGTTTTTCTGTAGAGTAGGTTTCTACGAGTGTAATTACTGGGTCAAAGAATACTGAACAATTTATTTTAGACAGATGTTGCTAAACTGCTTTCCATGGAGAATGAGTACTAAGTTATATTTTCATAGCAATGAACATTATACTTAAAGAGCCTATTTCTTATACCCCTCAAAAAATACTTTTGTTTAAATAGTACTTTGGAAAAAGATCACTTTTTCTAAGCACCATGTTTTGAATCATTTTGTCGTTTAATAAAAAGAATTCTTTTCCAAATACCAAGTTCTATTAATGGGAGACACATTTATTATTAGCTCAAAGGTCTCAGCCAATTCTGTTGGAAATAGGAAGACTTGCAAATACTTACTGAAGTATTAAATTATTTCGATTTGCACTAAATTTTAAGCAGATTTTAAAACTTCCTGACACTCTAGATACAGTCTATTTGTAGCAGGGATACTGAAACTCTTCATTTAGGTAATCTTCTAACCAGTATTTACAATATATAATCTTTTCAAGGAGCTCAGGAATCTATTTACACATCTTAAAGTAGAGCAGAAAACCAAGAAGAAATGCTGAGTCAAAGAATAATGTCTGGAAAAAAACATGAGAAGTAGTAACAACAGAGGAAAGAGTTCATTTCTGAAATGAGAACGCTTTGGAGTTTTGTTTCAAAACAACTTTAGGGGGAAAGAGTTGACAACAACCAAAAGAAAAACAAAACAAAACAAAACACCAAAACATAAAAAAGGGAAAAGAGAATGCTGAACTTGGAAAAGGGAGAAAATGAGACACAGAGAACATACAGAAGAAGAACGGAGGGGTGGGTGTGAGTGTGAGGATGGTGTCTACGTATGAACCCATATTTCCTGGGAGGTTTATACCCTTAGAAATCAGTTAAGGAAACTTGCAGTAACCCTAGTTGATGTCAGGAAGCTAAAAGATGTAAAGAGAATATTCTTCCCTTAGAAGCACAAGCACTGACCTGTAAAAGTTGTGTTGCGGTAGCTCTCTGCTCAGGATTCTTCACTAGGCACTTTTTAACAAAATCGGTGAAATCATCAGACCAGAGTTCTGGCTTCCTGAATGTTGGTGGTGGATTTGTGGGAATCATAAAAATAGCCTAATAAAAATGAAACATCCAAAAGACAGAGTAAGAATCACAACAGCACACCAGATAAACAAATCTCTTTATCTATCTCTCTATCAGACTCTCAATCTGAAAAACAAATTCAAGCAGTTCTAGGATTTCCAGTAAAATTGCATTCAGGAAGCAAGTCCATCTGCTACTAATGTAATCATTTCCCATTAAATTTCCTCTATTTGAATTGTAGCTCATTGAGCACATCATTCTTTATTTTATCTATTATTTTTAATCAGTCTCCAAAGACGATTGCATTTCTAACCCTTTTACCAAACTGAGGACGTTCTCTAGTTAAACAGATGCATCCCCGAAGTCCTGCCAGTGCGGGCCAGATGTAGGTCCTATTTCAGTTTCACAGAAGCACTGCTGCTCAAAGTGGCCAGCAGCAGTCCCATTCACCTCTGCAATCCAGAATATTTACATACAAACAAAATTACTGCTGCTATTCGAAATAATGGTTGATAGAGCCAAGACATTTTTTTCTGTTTCTGAATATGGGTCAGGGTTCCAAATGAAAAGTATTAAAGCTAATATACCACTTTGATTTATTACTAATGATTTAACTTAGTATTACCAATTTAGTACTAATGACATTACATCCAGAAAGTTCACAATTCGAAATCTCTGAAACGTTTCCATCATCCCTGTCCTCCTAGCTATCAAGTCACCCTTCTTTCAACCATGAGAATCAATCCCTAATGTTCTTAGCAAATCACTGTATGTAACGAATTAACTTTTCTCATGGGTATCTAGACTAGTCCCTGATAAAATGCCATCGCTAAAACATCATTCTCTTTGAAAAGACAATGAAAACAATAAATTTAAACCAAATGTATCAAACACCCAATAAATACTATTATCATTTTCATTTCCACACAATATTACAAAAAAGACAAGAGTCAGACATAACAATGGCAAAAATTTTACAAAGTAAAATGAATGCAGCCATGTTATAATTAACTGTAGTTTAATAGGTAAGTTTATATAATTACACGATCAGAACAAGATGTGCGATGAGGAAAAATGGCTTTTTGGCAACATTAATATGTGCACGTGAGGCCTGCAAATGTGGGCCCCACACAGACGTGTTCGGGGCTGAAGCACATAAAACTCCCGTCCTAAACCAGAGAATCTCTGCCTTCCCAAGAGAGCTGTCTGTCTGTGTTCTATACTCAGTGTTTCCACCTGGCTTTTAGTGATCTTCTCTCTTCACATGCAAGCAAACTTCATGTACATGTCCATCCCTTCTCCTTAATGCATAAAGAAAATTAAAGTGGTAATACTACAAACTACAATACTTAGAGACGTAATTTTTACCATTGAAAGACACTAACCATACCTATGTTTAAAACTTCTATTCGGATATGAAGAGAACATCAAAATTCTAGATTAATATCTTCCAAAATATAATATTTTGGGAGATATCAATTTTTATGTATTCCTTTGATTTAATAAAATTATTCTACTCTCCATTAGATTTGTATTAATTGTTCAAAAGTAATTCACAAGTTCTTAGAATCAGATAATTTGCACAGTAAAGATATAGGACAGATCATCTGGCTCAACCTTGTCATTTAACAGAGAAGAAATCAAAGCCCAGAGGGGCTAAAAAGAGTATATATAAATACTTAAAAACAGTATTTCAGTGGGGGCTGCTGGGGATGGGGAGGGAAATTTTGGGGGGGAAATGGAGACAACTACACTTGAACAATAAAAAATAACTTTAAAAAATAAGTAAAAATAAATAAATAAATTTAAAAAATAAAAGCTTTCAGTATTCTCTAAATAAAAAACTGATTAGGAAATAATTCGACATAAAAAAAAAATCCCAGTATTTCAGACTTACAAGACAGCCTTCATTTAAAAAATTAGCAAAGCTTTCTAAAGCATATATTGATACCATGTTTCGATAAGCAAGAAAGTGAAGTACAAAGCAGGTTACTAAATCTAAACAAATAGCTAGTAAGAGGATAAAGAAGTGATAAATGAAGATTCTGTTTCCAATTTACAGGTTTTCCCAGGTCCTCTCTTATTTCCAAGTGGGGAAGAAAGCATAAGCAAGATTTATGCCCTAAAATAGTGAGAAGAAACATCTTAAAACTTACTACCCTCACAACTGTGACAGTCAATATAGTTGAAGATTATTCAATCAAATATGAGTAAGAAAAAGAACTATTCAGTAGAGAAAACATAGTCTTTTCAGCAAGTGGTGTTAGGCACTATGTTAGGAATTCACAGACGCAACAGAAAATACAGTCACTACCTAACCTAGTCTGGTAATCACAGAACAGCAGTAAAACAATTAAAGAATAGTACAGTAAGAGAAGAAATGATAGTAGGCATAAAGAGGAGAGGTCACTTCCCTTAAGAAATAGCATGAGGAAGAGCAAGTGCATAGAATAGGGCTATTGGGAGGAGCACAGAACAAGCTGATTATTACCCGGTGAGGGACTAGGGAATGATAACATCTAAGGGGAGCAGAAGACACACAGTTTGGTCAGCAAGAAAGTACACAACTGAAAGGGTTTTGGGGTTTTTTTCCCAGTATGTGTGTATGTGTTTGTTTTTGTTTTTGCTTTTTGCTGTTAATTAGATTTGTCTATACCTAAGAGGTAGATTAAAAAACAAACAAACAAACAAAAGCCTAGACATACTCTAAATATGGGACAGAGAAGGCAGTTGGTCTAGTATAGATGTCCCAAGATGACTAATAAAGAATTCGACTAAGATAGTATCTACAGTGATGAAATGGAAGCAATTGGGTGTGAGATACTACAAAGGAAGAACCAAGAGTACATCCTGGGGGACTTCCGGCCAAGATAGAGGCGTAGGTGGAAACACTGTACCTCCTCGCACAACCAAATTTAAGGACAACAAAGATTTGGAGAGGGGTCCGGGCAGGAAAAGGCGGTGGTGGGCTACCTGGGCATGTGCAGGGATGGAAACCCAGTAAGACTCACAAGCCAGCTGGCTGACCACGGACACACATTTGTGCACAGAGAAACGAGGCAGGTTTTAAAATGGTCAGTGAGACAGACCGTACAACCCAGGGCCTCAGCAATGGGAAATAAAGCTTAAAAGCACCAATTGAAAAAACTTTCGGGGCTTGAGGTGCCAAGAGAGGTTCCTAGGCTCACAGAGAGTTTGATGGAAAGACCCACAGGGTCCTGGAACGTACACAAGCCCACACACCCAGGAACCAGCACCAGAAGGGCCCAATTTGCTTGTGGGAAGCAGCAGAGGGGACCGAAATCTGAGAAAGGAAAAAGTGCCATCGCTCCCTCTGACCCCACCCCCACATACAGCGTTACAACCCAGTCTTTGGGTTGCCTGCACTGGTGAACACCTAAGGCTCCTCCCCTCATACGTAACAAGTGTGACCGGACCAAAAAAGGGGCTCAAATGGAAGAACAGATCAAAGCCTCAGAGCCTGTACGTCTAAGCGACCAAGAGATAGCCAAGCTATCAGATGCACAGTTCAAAGCACTGGTGATCAGGATGCTCACAGAATTAGTTGATTTTGGTTGCAAATTAGATGAAAAAAATGAAGGCAACACTAAGTGAAATGAAGAAAAATGCACAAGGAACCAATACTGATGGAAAGAGAACTGGGACTCAAATCAATGGAATGTACCAGAAGGAAGAAAGAAAAAACCAAACAGAAAAGCATGAAGAAACAAGAATTCGAAAAAATGAGGAAAGGCTTAGGAACCTTCAGGACATCTTTAAACATTTCAACATCTGAATTACAGGGGTACCAGAAGGAGAAGAGGAAGAGCAACAAGTGGAAAACTTATTTGAACAAATAATAAAGGAGAACTTCCCCAATCTGGCAAAGGAAATAGACTTCCAGGAAATCCAGGAAGCTCAGAGAGTCCCAAAGAAGTGGGACCCAAAGAGGAACACACCAAGGCACATCATAATTACATTAGCCAAGATTAAAATGAAGGAGAGAATCCTAGAAGCAGCAAGAGATAAGGGGACAGTCACCTATAAAGGAGTTCCCATCAGACTGTCAGCGGATTTCTCAAAAGAGACCTTACAGGCAAGAAGGGGCTGGAAAGAAGTATTCCAAGTCATGAAATGCAAGGACCTACATCCAAGATTGCTCTATCCAGGAAAGCTTTCATTTAGAATAGAAAGGCAGGTAAAGTGCTTCTCAGATAAGATCAAATTCAAGGAGTTCATCATCACCAAGCCCTTATTATATGAAATGTTAAAGGGACTTATCTAAGAAAAAGAAGATAAAAATATGAACAGTGAAAGGACAGCAAACTCACAGTTATTAACAACCACACCTAAAACAAAAGCAAACTAAGCAGACAGCTAGATCAGGAGTGGAGCCATAGAAATGAAGATCACACAGAGGGTTAGCAACAGGGGAGTAGGAGGAGGAGGAGGGGGGAGAAGGTACAGAGAATAAGTAGCATGGACGGTAGGTAGAAAATAGATAGGGGGGAGGGTAAGAATAGTAGGGGAAATATAGAATCTAAAGAACTTGTGGCACATGGACATAAACTAAAAGGGGGAATGTGGGGGAGGGGGTGTGCAGGGTGGAGGGGAATGAAGGGGGAGAAATGGGACAACTGTAATGGCATAATCAATTAAAAAAAGAGTACATCCTAAGAACCTTGTTTGAGAGGGGTGGAAAAAGAACAACAAAGATTACTTCAGAATTCAAGAAGTAAAAAAAGACACCCTCACTGCAAAAGGTTCTCAGGGTATTCTAACAAAGCAGAGAAGATTCAATATTCAAGTCTTTTGATTCTAGGATAAGACCTAACCTGTTTAGTTCTGTATGCATCTTCTTTCGAAAAGGGAAATTCCTTTAATGGAAAAGAACATTCTTACACACCTTATTACATCTAAGATAGTCCTTCAAAAGCAGTGAAGCCAGTTTTATGACACAATAAGCATCTATCAAATGAGAAGTACATATCAAGTATTTCCTGTGTGTCCAGACCATGTTCTAATAAAGA